CCTACAAGAGTGTCCTACAAGAGTGTCCCAGAAGAGTGTCCCACAAGAGTGTCCTACAAGAGTGTCATTTGGACATATTAGTTTTTCGAACGTGTTTGCATTCGGGTTCGTGGGTTCCATCTTGTTTGTTTTTGGGTGTGCACGGATTCACCGGTTGTTCGGGGTGAGACGTGCACATGGGACTTGGGCGGCGTATGCGTGACGCTGTCAACAACGGGATACGCTGTCATCGGTTTCATGACGGTTGGATGACCGACTTCACAACATTGTCATTGGATGATCATGTGATCTCCTTCGGAGATGGGCCAAGAGAGCATTTTTGATAGTTCCTCCAGTTTTGTCCAAATGAAATTGAGGGGGGGGAGGGTGACCACCTCCCCCCCCCTTGCGAGTAAACAGAGGGGGAGGGTGACCACCTCCCCCCCTCCTTCGTTGAAAAGGGGGGGAGGGTGACCCCGCCCCCCCTAGCGACCAGGGAAGGGAAGGTGACCATTGGTGGCGGCGTGTTCGGTTGGTTGGTTGCTGCTGGCTGGCTTGTTGCTTTGGTTGGTTGGTTGGTTAGAATGTTTTTTGCCGCAGTGAGTTCACCTTAAAATGTTGATTTCGTGGCAGGCGCGGGCATTGGAGATGATGTGCAGCGCCCCCCCAGCAGACATTAGCTACAAATAGAACAAATGCTTGCCACGAAGAACATGATAATTTGGTTGGTTGGTGAAGGAGGGGGGGGGGGGGACCCTAAAAAAAAAAGTTTCGAGCGGGGGGGTGCCCCAAGGAGAAAAGGCCCCACGGGGGGGGGGGGGGGGTGCCCCCCCCCCCCCTTGGGCGGGGCGGGGGGGGGGGGGGGGTGGTCACCCTCCCCCCCATGATTTGTTTCGGACGCAAAGTGAGGAATTCTCGCATTTTTCGCCCTTTGGTTCATTTAACGCATCCAAAACCATGAAAGGGTCCACGATTTCCGAGTTCCAAACGTGCGTGTTAACTTGTTTTTCGACCTCGTACTTCTTACCGTTTTACACAGGTAGCACTGGACAATTTCTTTGTCCTTGTCTGTCATTAAACATTGGTCCATTGCACTGGGTTTGCGGCAAAGGGCCAATGAGTTCCGCAGGTTTGCATCGCTCGATCCGTGCAGTCACGTTGTTGAGCCTTCGAGGCCCGTTCCAAGACCTGTTAGAGACTTTTGGAGATGGTTGGGCCTTACTGCAGAAGATTCGTTTTACTCAGGCATTTTTGCATTGCATTCAAGCGAGGTGGCGCAGCACGTACTCCATCCCAAGTGTTCCTGTGCACCGGCCGAGCTGGTGCATAGAGTTGGCCATCATGATGGTGTCCTGTTTCTCCGTCTTTCGGTCTCCTTGGGTCTCTCCTAGAACTAGAGCCCTGGTGGCCCTACTTGTGACTCTTAGATACGGAAGGGTTATTGCTTGGATGGTTGTTCAAGGGGCGAGCTGTCGCTTGTACACTTGAAATTTGGGTCGCTTGCGCACTTGAAATTATGGTCGCTTGTACACTTGACATTTGAGCACTGTCCGAACATGTCGTCACCAAACGCTTTAGGTTGGTCGGTCTTACACTGAACATACATTGAAAACCGATGAGGAAAACCCAAGACCGAGGTCTTCCATTGAGCATACATTGAAAACCGATGAGAGACCGATGCCTCTGTATCATACATCGGATAAGTACTACTACTACTACTACTACTACCACCAATAGTACTGCCACTACTAGTAGTGCATGCCACTACTACTACTGCCACTACTGCTACTACTACTACTACTACTACGACGCTTACTACGGAATAGAACCCTGCGTGCGTGTGTGTGTAAAGATGTTGACCTTGTCCAACTTGGCAACTTTTTCAGCACTTCTGAGTCCCTTTGTATGGTTGGCAACTGCAACCCCCCCCACCCCACCCCCCCACCCCACAACTGAGTTTGTATGGCAGAAGTATGAAGTGAAAGGCAATCAAAACGTGAGTGCGTGCGTGTGTGTGTAAAGATGTTGACCTTGTCCAACGTGGCAACTTTTTCAGCACTTCTGAGTCCCTTTGTATGGTTGGCAACTGCAAAC